TTGTCGGGGTTCGAGGTCCAGGGTCGAGGTCCGGAGGAGTCTGTCCGACGAGTAGGTACCAGGGCACGGAACACGGGGAGGGAGACGATGGACTTGGAGGAAGAGGTAAGTCAGGGACGGGAACGGGTCTGAGGGGGGAAGGCACGGAGGCAAGGATCACACAGCGGGTCGACAGGCGGGATGGGAAGAATCGGGTAAACGAGAGACAGAAAAAACGCTTGGCAAGGCACGAGATCATCGGCACAATACTTCGCAGGGTACTCCTGCGATCGTAAGGCTTATAAGCCTGGTCTAATCAGCCGGCGAGGTGGTGTCTCCGTCTGGCCCCGCCCCTGAGGGCGTGACACCGACAACCAGGGTATCCTGCATTTTACTAGGAACCACAGTACACTTCATCCAAAATTCACCCCTTGTCAATCTCACCACTAATTCATCAACTGTTCTTCCCTCCTTATAGTCTCTCTGTTGCTGTTTTTCCACTGGCATACAGGAGCTGACCCATACCCGAGATGTACTGCAAAGAGAGACTAGTTACAGCACAGTTCCAGCTCGCTTTGGTATTCCACTGCAGAAGGGTCGGCTTGGTAAAGGCATTGCTGGGTTTGGAGAGCGACAGTGATGTAAAGCCGAAGAGATGCTTTTTTACTGTTCACGCGGTATACATCATGATTTACTATGCGCTAATTTCTTAATTCTCTAGTAAGTCTGTGAGAATCACCGTGTTATGTTAGCATCAAATGCGTATATTTGCATTACAAATCCATTCCGTTCAGCTGTTTTATAGTACTTTTTAAAGTAGGAACTGGAAATTTTCAGGTTCATAGGTATCACAATGTGCGATACTACTAATAATGAATAATATATAATATACTGTTTTTCCTTTAGATTATCCATGCATATCGATGCAGAGCATCTGTATCTCCATGCATTTCGACCAATTAGATGGTGATGACAGCTTAGTCGCGCTTTTATCCCTGCTAATAAGCAGGTACAGTGCAGGTACAGTTCACATAATTTACTATGGGAAATCGCCAATTCGCAGTGCAGCTCGCTTCTTCAGTGGAAAAGTACCATTTCTCTCACAATCCAAAAACCTACCCACTGTCTGTTGTCTTCTACACAGTCCTTGACTCACTTTTGCTCGGTGACCATCATTCACAGGCCCTCACGACTTTTCTGAAGTACCTTGGCTTTTAGGTTTGCCAGATGCCAGTACAACGTGCACCAGAACAACAATGCTTCAAGTCCAACCAAACCGGAATTGTGACCTACAAGAATGCCCTGGCTTCATCCTGTTCTGCTGTGTCTTCCATCAAGGTGACTTTCTTTGCAGTCCCCCATAAAAACACCCTCCTTTTTCTGACCAGGTTAAGATGACTGGCAGATAGATTTCAAGGCCGACTTTTCTCTCATTACTTCCCAGTCTTCTGAAATTCATTATCTTCAGCTTCTTCTTCTCTTTATTTAGCAGAGAAATATTCAAATCCTTGCTGCCTCAGCAGTGGAAGGACTGTCCTCCTGACCCCATCCTCTCTCCTACCCTCCTCTTCCCACTTGTCTCATTAGGTTTTAACTCTTCCTTCACCATTGGCTCCTTTCAAACTGGTGCAAGACACCCTTCCTCAGAAGAAGTTGACCCTCAGTCAACTGACGGCCAGGACAACAGACGAGCTTTCCCCGCTGTCTATCTAAATCCCTCAAATGTGCTTCTTTCCCAGAATTCATTACAGGACAACACCAATCTGGCTTCAAGGCTAGACGTCATCCCAACCCCAACAGTGAAGTTTCTTCTTAGATTGCTGTATGTTGTCCTGACATTTCTGGCCATCACCTCCTACCTCAGTGACCACTCAGTGGGAGAATATGATTATCAACTTCCCAGCCATCCCAGTCCATTAGCTACCAGTTCACTATAACTGTAAATAACATGATGGCAACATTGGCAATAACCATTAAAGGCCTTAGCACCACCCTGTGGAAGACCAGCACCTTTCTCCATCACAGATCATTGGTAATCCAGTTCTGCACATATGAGGTTTCCAGATATCTAACAAATCTGCCCGACCTCTCACCTTGACTTCTGTGACTGTCATTGATGAGCTTCTGGGTCGTCTTAATAATCATCTTCAGTTGTGTTTGACAACCTCAAGCTCCCCCCTCCTTCTCCCTCTCATTGGCTACAGCCTGGAATTTGTACCAAAACTGCAAACAGAGCAGTTCCTCCATATCTACAAGATCTCACCAAGACCAACATAAAATCAGGTCATCTGACAGTTTCAGGCCTGAAAGGTTGGAAATAAAAATCCCATCTGTTTCCTTCCCCGGAGCCTGGTGACTGCAGGATCAGTCTCACACTTCGAGAAGGAGCAGAGAAGTCACCTTCCCAGAACGCACTTCAGCACATAACTCCAGAGGGCATTCTAATTGCATCTACTGGCTTCTCTCTGCCACATCTTTGCTAAGGTGTGTATGTTTGTGTATCTTCTACTTTTGGTGTTTTCTTAAATTTTATATGTTACTTGTTTTTGGTGTAAATTTATCATATAAATCTTTCCTGATCATGAAAACAATTCTGTTTTAATTAAATATAAAGCAATGAACACACTGTAAATTCTATGATACATGAAGTTCTGCTAGTTCCAGATATAAATGCACCATCATTGTGATATCAGCACCATCCAGCTGACCCAACATTATATTCATTAATACTGCAATAATGCACTTACAGTACCTCAGTAGGTTATGGCTCTGTCTGTATCTATAGAAGCTTGGTTTTAAACCTCTGGCACTTAGAATCTCGTATCACCTGGACCAAGGCCCATAACCCTAACTGCTCCAGGGGTCCTGGGCACCGGCAGACCCTATGCTGTGACCCCGAGTGACCGCAGTGTGCTGAATAAATATATGCACACTTCTTGTTTCCATGTCTTGTGAGTTCAATGGTGCGCCCTCGTGTGGTGAGGTCCACGACAAAACAGGGTTCGAGGGGACTATTTTTGTTCGTATTACTAAATTTGATAGTATTACTATAAGCTTGTATTTTTGTACTTCTTAAGAATATCCCGCATTAATAATCTCTTTCCTAGCAATTACGCTATATTACATTTAGCTCCTTGGTAATCTCAGCGATTTTTCCAGGAAAACCCTCCTTCGTAAACAGCCAGGCAGTCTGAGGCTCAGGGAAAGCCTAAAGTCTGAGGGACTGCTGCAGCAGTGAGTCCAGTAACGGACTCGGTGATATATATCGGTGGTAATACTGGTCTGTGACTGGCGTAAACGCCTTACAAGCTGTGCTTTAATTGTAAATAAAGTTAATTGAGATCTGGTTTTCTGTAAATATGGCAATTTTGCCAATATGTTAAATTTGAATAAAATATAGGCTAAAGAACGTGTAACGTTAGGTTTTCTCAAGAATAACGCAACACCTCTAATGTATTATATCTGAACTTCGATTAAATGCAACCTAATTTCAGTTACAAAATGCGGTGTGAAACAGCTAGTACAGCAACTTTATTTCCCTGGTATTCAAACTTTAAGTGCTGTAGTGCAGAATTACTGTTACACGCATAGCAGAACAAAACGATTTTTACAGGCTTTTCATTATTCGTCATATGGCTAGAAAAAAAAACCAAATTACAAGCCACTCAGCATCACAGACAGACAAATAGCGGGACGTTTTATCTGGAATCGATACCACAAATTAAACAAGAAGGGATCCAGATAAGTACCTTGGCAAACTGGAGCGCTGCCACTCCCCGCTCGGACGGACACAGATATGGGCGGGATCTGGCGACTGAGAATTACCCCGGAATTGCCGAAGCCACCGTCCCGGATCGGTGCAGAGCAATCGGACACTGGGGCATTTTACACCCTCCCCCCTAAGTGGTGCAGGGGGTAATTAATCCGGCGCGCTTGGACGGCAGCCTAATTTAAACCTTTTTGGAAAGCACGGGACAGGAGGGGAGAAAAAAACACCAATAAAAGACAATGAAAACGGCAGTGATAGAAGGTATCGAACGGTTCAATAGTCCCGGTAAGGGGAGAGGACTGAAGGCGGCGAAACATTTCAAAGTTGGGGAGCTCCTGTTCTCCTGTCCGGCGTACGCGTCCGTGTTAACAGTCTCCGAGAGGGGCGGCTACTGTGAATCCTGCTTCTTAAGGTAGGCTGTCATTTGGAAAGTGGCCAGCATGCAATGATTAATGTTAAAATAATATATATTAACCTATAATGAGTAAGTTAACCCCTTCTAAATGGGGTGCCACTGTTCGGGTAATAATCATTTAGCGATCATTTGTAGGCCTATAATAATAATAATAATAATGTAGAATTCGTTCGGTTTGGTAAGCACGCATAACTGCACTTCAGTCAAAATTACCGGTCGGGTTTCGCTGTCATAATTGCTGTTTTTTGCTGCCGTGGTATCTCTTAAAATAAGACCGGAGAAATACTAACCGATCTCATCATCTAAATGCGGAGAAATCTAGAAAAACTGGCTACGAGTCACGAGTGGCGTGACTTTAGCTTGGCGTAATGGGGACACTGGGCACTGCATAACATCTATTTTTAACAAGTAGCAGGGCCTGCTTCACACTGGTGGGTAACAGTGCTGACTTCGCTCGCCTCAGACAAGTGGTCAGCCATGTGCGATTTAGGGTTACCATCGAAACAGATGCAAACATCATTCGCCAACACACACTGCGGACGGATTCGTACAATAGGCAAACCGCCCACAAAATAGATTTACTTGCAAAATTCTATTTTTTATGTTTCTACTGGACACAAGCCAAAAAGGATCTCAGCCTTCCTAAACATAGGCCTATATAGGCTACAGAGAAGCGTAAGAACCGGGGACACGTGCATCCGAAAATATTTAGTATGGATTCATTCACACACACCCAATAAATAGATATAATAAATAGATATTTGTATATAAATTCTTGTGTGCCCTCCCTCCTCTAATATTAAACTGTCCTCTGCGCCGTGGTATATACACCACGTTCATTAACCTGGGTCTATCATAGCTATTAGGCTATACCGTGTGCCTGTGATTACATTACACGTGAATCACACGAGTGCTTGTTGCAAATGCAGGTTCATGCGTTTTATGCATAGCAGGCTATAGTATCCATCATATGGTAATCTCCATAGTTCAGCAATCTAAAGACAGAAAGAAGTCCACCATTAATTAACAGACTTTTTTTTTTCTATTTGCATAAATAGGCTAGTGACAGATTCCAGTTGAAGAGAATGTAGTCTAACAATGAACTGTTATTAGACATGTTGTTAGACATTCTTTAGTTCCCTTTGCCATACTGCAATTATACATTTCAACAAAATTAATAACTGAGAAATACAACCAGCCATAAACACAGAGGACAGAGAGGAGTCATTAAAACATTAGGACCTTTACTAAATCGTAAACATACGGTGTCTTTCCCAAAAGATGCTGTCTAATGACTCATTATATTTTAAAACTTACCACAGATGGACCACTAAGCCTAAATAGAATCAAAACGTTTATTGCTTGTCTAAAGCATTGTAAAAATCTATGGCTTTGAGAACTAGTTACAGATTAGACTGAAAGTTGCTTTATTTCGAGACAAGTGAACAGAAATCTAAGATCACTATGAAACAGTACTACTGCACTTTGCAAGTGGGTCTTAACTGATCTGAATGAAAATAAAACCTTTCCGTTCGTCTTGAATGAGATCTATTTAGTCTAAAGAAGCTGATAGTTGTATGCGATGCATTATTCTAAACATTTTTAGAATAATGAAGAGTGTGCATTTTCAAATATTAAGAAACAGAGTGAGTTGCAAAGACACGGTATCTGTTCTCTTGACTCGCTTCACTACCACGAAGTCTCACTAACGTATAGGAAGACATTTCTGTTTCTTGCATGCTGTCCTACACAGCAGATGGTCGAGACAAGGGTCACGGCTATTAATATCCAGGCAAACCTCAAACCAGAACTTCTCGGTCAGGATAGTAAACCAAACAGCATGAGAGTTGTAAGTAACTCATGAAGCAGACAATAACCACCTAAACCGGACGCAAACATAAGTTGCTCCTCCAGTCGTCCAGTACGATATTGCCAAACCTCCAAAACGATTAATAAGGTCCGTTAAATGAAATAAGTCACTGCAAAGCTCTACTAGGGTCCGAGAGACTACATTACCATAGGTCAGCCTTTCCCTTAACGTATGTGAAGCAGGTGAAATTTAAGCAGATAGGCCGATTTTCTAAATCTTGTGCAATTGGAACTTTACCCGATTAATTTTGTATTGCTAAAAATCATTCTCGGGGCTAATTGTTTGCATAATTGTTTGTTTGTTTAACGCCCTTTCGGAAAGTAGCGTGTGGGATCCAATCACTCCCCGAGTATATACTGTAGCCTACATTTCACAAAGAAGTGATAGGCCTAATTTAAAATGATGTTTCTCATTAACAGCAATCGTATACCGGGATTTGTGGCATATATGCGCGTACATATGAATAAATATGACTGCGGTTTCCACGGCGTTTCTTTAGATGTGTGGGTAGTTTTATTTGGATATTCGCTACCACGAAAAAAAGATACCTGAACTATACAGGAAAGGTCTGAGATCTTCTCCAATCTGCTGAACAGTCCGCGTTGCAGTCGCCGCGAGCTTGTTCGCCATGTTTGTAGGTGCTTTACCTGCTCATGCGCCCTTGCCTCTCCCCATGTGCCCCACAGGAAGGACAGTCTGTCTAAGTGCGGCAAGTGTAAGAAAGCTTTCTACTGTAATGTCGACTGCCAGTTAAGTGGACCCGTTAAACCACTATTATTACATCATGTGTTTTTGTGTGAACATAAGATGAAGATATCGGCAAACATTTTTTTTTTATTCTTACTGTGATGCACTTATACACAAGGATAACTAGACATATTATTATAAAGAACACATAAAAACTGCCAATACTAACATCACTGACAAGTAAAAATTCTCATGTAAAAGCCATACACGTGCCATTTTCATTTTATATTATTAATATAACCCCACGACCCAGAACAGAACAAGCGGTTTCAGACAATAGATGCATGAATTCTCTCTCTCTCTCTCTCTCTCTCTCTATATATATATATATATATATATATACACACACACACACACACACACACACACAGTATATACCAAAACAGACGTTTTTTTCCCTGTGATACGCCCTTTGCCTTCATCCTGTGTTGGTGTCCGTACGTGGAGTGCAGTGACCTGTTTGTCCCCACAGAGAGGAGACTGGCCCATGCACAAGCTGGAATGCACGGCCATGTGCGACTACGGCGACAACTGGTGTCCCACAGAGACGGTCCGGCTGGCGGCCAGAATCATCGCCAAGCAGGTGCGCTGAGCCGTGGAGAAACTCTTGGCGGGGCTGGTGTGTTTTTCCGGGAAGGGGTGATGAAGGCATAAAGGGAGAGGAAAGGAATGAGTGTGGGAGGGTTTGAACGACCTCAACAGCCAGCTGTTTACCTGGGGATTTCGCGGGTAAAAAAGGAGGGAAAAATCATTTGTCATCATGGGTGGGAAAAGGATAAAACTATAATAACCTCAGTTGTAATTGTTGCTTTTAATGTTTTTCTTTGGGAAGCAACTGTTTATTGAAACCTGTCTTTATGGATTCAGCCATCTTGATAACGAGAGCCACAAGATAGTAATTAACAGGACTATTACGCCCACGCACACGAAACAAGTATGGAAAACATTCCTTGCGGTTACATTTGTAACCTGTTTTAGTAGAAGTGCGCAGTGACGGTTTGTATGCCTGCCGTTTACTGGCCTGTAATGAATTCTGAAATTTAGTTATACTTCCCGTAATTTGTAAAGGGCACTTTTATTTGGTGTCTTACTTCTCAGTCCGGTCAGACGTGAGGGATCCAGGACAGGTACCTGGAAAACAGGGGCACAGTGGTAGGGATGCGAGCTAAAAATGACATCAGGTGCGTGACATCAGGCAACTTTATAGTGTATTAGGGCCTATAGTAGATGCAGAGCCATCTGGGCACAGGAGTAAAAATTATCATAACAAAATCGCCTCAGCTTTAGTCCTAATGATTGTCAGTGCAGACCATACCTTTCTCCCACTCTGCTGAATTACAGATTAAGTATAAATATGAGTATTTTGACTTTATTGTATGAATGACATTAGAGGGGTTTTAAGTTTAACTTATTTAAAAAGCACATTTCACACAACAGCAGTTGAACAAAGTGCTGTACAATCAAAATAACACAAACCCATGTACAGCCATGGAAAATATTTAGAGACCACTCTTTAGTTTTAAACAAATCTGCCTTTTTAAATCCTGGTTTAATCCTGGTTCTGCTGGCAGAAGGCTTCACTGAGCAGCAGGTGGCTTCAAGGCTCAAAATTTGTAAACCAGCAGCACACAAGAACAAAGTGAAGCAGGAGACACTGGGAACGACCAGAAACCAGCCAGGTAAAGGGCAGAAGTGATTTTGTAATGCCAGAGATGACTGTTAACTTATCCTTCAGTTTCTCATGAATCAGAGGACGACATCAAGTGACCTTCAAAAGGAATGGGAAACATTAAGTGCAGGTGTGAGGTGCACTGCTAGGACAGTTCATATCAGGCTCCTAAAAGCAGGTCCCATAAAGCAAGGAAGAAGCCCTTCATCATTGAGAAGCAGGGAAGAGCCAGGCTGCAGTTTGAAGAAAATATGTAAATATTTCTGACACACACTCATAAATTGAGAATGCGTGATACAAAAAATTGTGCCGCGATCTCTTAATTTTTTCCACGGCTGTATTGTACAGATAACAAAGACACAAGGCAGCTCCTACACTGAGTTAAAGCCAAAGAATGAAAGTATGTTTTAAGACGGGCTTTTAACATAGATAATGTTGGGGCCAAACGGATATGCAGAGGCAACTCATTGCAGAGTATTGAAGCTCTAACCACAAAACATGTTTTCCTTGAAGAAACTTGCTAATTGTTGTTTTTTAGTGCTGGGGTGCTTAATATAGGTAAGTTGAGTCTCACCTGAAAAAGTTGGTGTTTGAAGATATGGACACTTGACCATTACACCCACAGGAACTTCTATGACATCCTATTCTAAATCCATAGGCATCAATATGGAGACAATCCCCCCTTTGCAGCTATAACAGCTGCCACTCTTCTGAGAAAGCTTATGGAGTGTGTCGGTGGGAATTTTGTGAGGGCAGGGACTGATGTTGGATGTTGCTCGGAATCTCCATTCTAATTCATCCCGAAGGTATTTGATGGCATTAAGGTTATGTCTCTGTGTGGGCCAGTCAAGTACTTCCACACCAAACTCACCCAACCATGTCTTTATGGACCTTGCTTTGTGCACTGTGGCACAGTCATGCTGGAACGGAAAAGGACCCCAAATTGTTCCCACAAATTCGGATGCATTGAATTGCCTAAAATGTCTTGCTATGTTGAAGCATTAAGAGTTCCCTTGTGAGTTCCTAAGGAGCCCCAAACCATTATCCCTTCTCCACCAAACATTACAGCTGGCACAATGCAGTTAGACAGGTAACGTTCTTCTGACATCCACCAAACCCAGACTCTTCCATCAGACTGCCAGACAGAGAGAAGTGTGATTCATCACTCCACAGAACACGTTTTCACTGTCGAGTGGCGGTGTGCTTTACACCACTCCATCCAAGTCTTGGCATTTCACTTGGTGATGTGAGGCTTGTATGCAGCTGCTCGGCCATGGAAGCCCATTCCATGAAGCTCCCAGCGCACAGTTTTTGTGCTGAGTTTAATGCCAGAGCAAGTTTGGAACTCTGCAGTTATTGAGTCAACAGAGCATTGGTGACTTTTACACACTATGTGCCTCAGCACTCGATGACCCCAATCTGTTCCTTTACATGGTCTGCTGCTTTGTGGCTTAGTTTCTTTCCTTCCTAAATGGTTCCACTTTGCAATAATACCGCTTACAATTGACTGTGGAATATCTAGCAGGGAAGACATTTCACAAACTGACTTATTGCAACGGCGGCATCCTATGACAGTACTATGCTGGAATTCACTGAGCTCTTCAGAATGACCAATTCTTTCACAAATATTTGTGAGCCTGACTGCTTGATTTTATACACCTGTGGCAAGGGGTCTGAGTGAAATACCCGAATTCAATGATTAAGAGGTGTCCAGATAGTGTTTTTGTGAGAAGTAGTGATGGGGTGGGTTCATGTGGTATTTTCGTGTTCAGTGAGCTGCAGTCCATTTGCCGTGTGGGGAAGATGGGGGCACAGGAGGTAGTGCTATCGTTCGACAACGTGAGGGTTGCCGGTTCGAGCCCTGGTTCTTCCTGACCCCATCAAAGTGTCCTTGAGCAAGACACTGAAGCCCAAATTGCTCCCGGTGTGCAGGTTGGCGTCGTGCATGGCAGCCTCCGCCACCGGCATGTGGATGGGAGAATGTGAGGCATAAATTGTAAAGCACTTTGAGTAGAAAAGCGCTATATAAATGCAGTCCATGAACAGAACTTTTCTTTATCAGAAAACGCAAGTAGAGAGAAGCTCTTCGGAGAAGCTGTTACCGATGCAAGAGCTGGAAGCACGTAAGAATTTTTCCATTTATACTAATCATACTAATTCAGGCCTGTTTACATACCTGTCTGATTAACTACTGCAAAATTTCTTATCCATATTAAATAGACTCTATAGTGTCCTTTTTAAAGAGCATGATGCTTCTTAAGACTCTCACTGCGTGTTTATCCATGTTAGTGTTTTTGTCTCATAGCCCTACTTCACTTCAACGAAGCATTTGAATAGCGATACCCACAAATTTGTCCGCTGAGGAATAGTGTCTTTGCGCTTTTTGTGTTGGTAAGCTACATACCTCAATATGGCCGGTTGAGTACAATATGTAAGATGCTGTCGGTAGAGATCCTTTGCAATTATTTGTTTACTAGTGGCATAACTATTTTACTCTGGGCTGTTGGTTCGCCCTGAAGTGTCTATTCATAGGCTATAAAGGTAGCACATGTCATACGATGCCTGTGGTTGAGCTTCATTTGGTTTCCACCACAAAGTTCAGCTCACATAGAAGGCTGTGGCCCTTCATAGGCCCTCACGTACAATGAAAAACACAAAGACTGGGTTTAATATATAAGGCAAATTATGTCTGCAGTTTGACGAGCAGGATGATCCGCATGACTGTGCCCTTCCCACAGACCTGGATGAGATGGACAATGAGAGGAGGGAAATGAATGAGGCTGACATTGCCGCTCTGCACCATTTCTACTCCAAGCACCTGGAGTTCCCTGACCTCGTTGCGCTCACCATGCTCTTCGCTCAGGTGCCCTCCCAAGACCGTCTTTAGTTTTGGCGACCATGTTTGCTACAGGCATGGTAGTTACACACACAACTTAAAAACCCTGGATTAAACTGCTACTTAGGTTTGCTAAAGAGTGTAGTGGTTACAGGTCTGGCAGGATGTGCCTAGAAGATTTTACGTCTCTTCGTTCTCCCGTCATATGACCAGTAATAAATACTCCCATAAAAAGGATGCAATCCTCAGTAAATATCATAACAACAGAAAATGTCGTAATGTAAATGTCTGTATCCAAGAGACACTGTGGTATGTAAGTATTTGATGGGACAGCACATCTTCATATTTAATTAACACTTGATATTTTGAAGCAAAGGTTTCAGTTAATTTGCCAAATTCTAGAAACAGCAAGAAATGGAATTCAGTAAAGGTGTCACCCAGAGGTACTGACATACTTCTGCACAGTACTGGTGCTGTGACACTTAATGTTTAGCGCTGCTAACTTATGGGTCCTGACTGTTTATATTACTTTTATTATTGGTGCCGTCTATATTGATGACATTTCATTGGAGTTAGTACTTTAGGGATGTTAGATGCCTTACTGGACACTTTGACCTGAAGTTTAGCGCTTTTTCTCAGGAATGTAACCGCAGACTTACACCTAAGATTTGAGCGCATCCAGGTCATGGCCCCCTGGTGGCAGCTGGTGGTACTGTTGCCTGGTTAGCGTTCTCGTCCGGCTCCAGCTGTCGTGGTCTCAGCTGCTGCCCTGCCTTTTTGAATTCTTCAGCTCCTTAATTAAGAGGACTCCACACCAAAGCCTTATGCTGCATTCCATTGGAACTCGGAAGTTGGAAATTCCAAGTTCCTAGTTGGAAATTTTAACTGGAACGCCCCCTGAAGTCGGAGTTCTGACTCGGAAAGTCGGAGGAATCCCGACCTCAGAATTCAAAGTGGCTGCGCCCTTCATCAACAGACGTGAAAGCTGTAGTTATATCTGCAGTTATATACTGTTTATTAGCACTTATTAGCGTCTCAATAAATCGGTCATACACACGGTACTGTCCAAGCACTATCTGTGGACGTGTTGGTATGGTGTTTGTATGCGCAAAATACTGGGTAATGTATTATCAACAACTGATATTGCTAACAATGGCTAACAGTGATCCTAGCTAGAACTGATATTGCTAAATGGCTTTCCGACTTGTTTTACTGTAATGTGGTTAACTCAGGTGTGACGTCATTCCCAGCTCCGACTTCCCAACTCAGAGGTAAATGGAACGTAGCGTTAATCCCCCCCATGCCTCCTGACCCCTCCCCAGGCATCATACACTGGGGGATTATGCATCTGAGAGTCATATTCCTCAGTTGTCTTCACTTGGGACGCACAGTCATTATTAATGTTTGTCATTATAGGGCAGTGTGTGGCTCAGTGGGCTAAGCCTGTGTGTCGGTAATAAGAAGGTCACCGATTCAAACCCAGCCTCAGCATGTCTGCGGCTCCTTGAGCAAGGCCCTTAACCCCCAACTCCCTGGGGGCCGCTACGGGTGGCTGCCCTTCGCGGACAACTTACTCTACAAAGAGCAAGTTGAGGGAGGCCTAAAGACAGTTTCCCCATGGGGATCAATAAAAGTTTATTATTATTATTTATCAGTGCTTTGCTAATTAAAGTATGAAAAGCTCCTCTAAAGGAGCAAGACACAAGAAAGACCCGAGTATAAAGAAGAATGAAAAAAATTGATAGTGATGTAGTCACATGATCAGCTGCTATGTGTCCCGATCCCCTTCCAGGATGCGTTCTTCATCAGACTAAACTCCATCCTTCTCCTCTGCAGGTCAACTGCAATGGCTTCACAGTTGAGGACGAGGAGCTGTCCCACTTGGGCTCTGCATTGTTCCCAGAGTAAGTGTAGGACTCTGAGGCAAACATGTGGTGTGAAAATCCTAGTGAATATTTTCAGAAGTTGATGTTGGACCTTAGAGCAGGTTTCCACATTTGAGTGCTAAATGGCCATATTCTTTTAGCCAGATCATGACATAGATGGTACAGATCCCACACCCCATTCTCTTTCACTTGCTCTTTCTTTTTTGGGTCTTCCTCTCTTCTCCGGCTCTCTAGCGTTGCCCTGATGAACCACAGCTGTTGCCCCAATGCGATTGTTACCTACAATGGTACTGTTGCTATGGTGAGGGCTGTTGCAGAAATCAACCCAGGGGAGGAGGTGAGGCCTGAAACCAGCTACCAGGGTTAGGCACGGGGTGGGGGGGGGTAAGGGGCGGGTGGTAGAGCTTCCTGAGGAGCATGCGGATATGGGGGTGGGGCTAGCTGAACACATGGAGACCTGTATGGTGCATCACTTTAATTGCTTAATTGCACATGATTTCTGGAGGACAATAGCATTAATTAGCCATTGAATCCTTTGATATTTTTTAAATGCGGCCTCTGCTATTTGAGAGGCACACTTTATATTCTAAACCATGAAGTATTAATCAGTATTAGCGCCAAAAGGGAACTATCAATGAAAACACATCTCTTAAACCTCCATTGGATTGCAGACCTTTTATAATATTATATGAATCCCTTTCTACATATTGAATAGAATGCAATAGAATAGAATAGAATATCGATACTTTATCAATGTTTTTTGGATACAAGATATTGACTGGAATTCTGTTGAGCAAACAGTGATTTATTGCAGCTTTGCCTTGACATTGGCAAACATCAGTCATTCTCCACCTGATTTTATGCCATGTCTCATGTCTCTCTTCCTCTAGATTTTCACCAGCTACATTGACCTACTCTATCCAGCAGAGGACAGGATCGAGAGACTGAGAGATGCGTACTACTTCACCTGCGACTGTAAAGAGTGCAGCACAAAATCCAAGGTACAGGTCTGCCTCCGGTGGAGAGGGAGAAACATTACAGCTGATCCTTGTACTGTATAACATGGAAACTTTTAAAAATCATTCCCATTGCAGGAAAAGTGCCTCCGAATGATTCAGAAACTTTAAGAGTGTGCTTCTGATAAAATATCTTCCTGCTACTATTAACTTTTTCGAATAATCGTGGGGGGTGGGGGGGGGGGGGGTTCCCTCCAATATTTAAATTGGCTTCATTCATTTCACCATTTGTGTCCCCCGTAATATCAAACTCTTTCCTATGCCATTGTGAAAAATACTAACATTCAACAATGCTATTTGAAATAATTAAATCACAGTGATTGATGTGTCTCATATTTAACATCAGCAACCAATTTGTTTGTGTTTTCACACATTTCCTCTGATAGTTGGTTTTAATTGATTTAGCGTTATCTAACAAATACATTATAACAAGGAAATCTGAGCTTTTCACATTAAAGAATAGCTTACTTTCTTCCTGAACTAACAATATCTGTTTTGAAGCTGATTTTTGTACCACCTTCCTTAAAAACAATCAACTTTTTCAGGACAAAGCAAAAATGAAAATACGAAAACTGAGCACAAGTCCTGAGCCAGAGACGATCAGGAAGATGGTGAAATATGGCAGGAACATCATCGAGGAGTTCAGGAAAGCAAAACACACCAAAAATATCCTCATCTGCTCTGCTCTACGTCTCTAACTTCTGCTTCTGCAAAAACACTCACACTTTTGTTCCAGCCAGTCTTTGCAGTACCAGGGCCGGACTGAGCAGTATTTACATTTTTTTGGGAGCAACAACAACAAGTTAGCAAAATTATAATTACACATTCCAGTAAATCAGTACTGTAAGAATGCCCATATAAAAAAGCCCTTATTTTCATGCATTCTCAGACATTTTTGCAATATATGTACAATACTGAATACCAGCCTTGCTGATATTTCAACACTATATACTACTTTTCATCTTATTGCATTGGTAAATAATTTTTTAAACAAAGATGTGACATCATGATTAATTACTCTATAACAGCAACATTAGAAATCTGAAATCACACTTTTAAAAAAATACGCTATCTATATGCAAAAATGCTTGAGCCTTGACTCAATAGCACCCCCTAGTGAGCTGCTGGAGATGTGCGAACTGAGTTTGGATAAAATGGGCTCGATATTCGACGACACCAATGTGTACGTGCTGCACATGATGTACCAGGCCATGGGGGTGTGTCTCTACATGGAGGACTGGGATGGGGCCTTGAGCTACGGGGAGAAGATCATCAAGCCGTACAGGTTTAATACACTTTATATACTTTATAATGGACTTTAGCATGTGTAATGTAGACACTGGATTTAATGTCTGAAGTTAGTAAGTAGTTTAGCCTTGTGGCTATGTAATGCTCACATCATCCATTACATTTTCAGTGTACACTATCCGGCCTACTCCCTCAATGTGGCCTCCATGTACCTGAAGCTGGGAAGACTGTACTTAGGACTAGAGAAAAAGCCCATTGGAGTCAAACACTTGAAAAAGGTATAAAAAGTTTAAAAAAAAAACATTTTTTTGTGATCAATATTCAGTTAAATTTAAATTGAAAGTAGAGTAGATTACCAGCACAGGTAATTAAAAGGCAAAATGGTTGTTTAAAGTGTAACTGAGCTGGAAGTCTTTGGAACATATACCTACTCTGATAGTATTTGAAATACTACCAGAAATACAATGAGATACTATGAAGGGGTATCTGTGACTGTATGGATGTTACGGAAGTGTCGTGTAATTGCTTGACGGAAGTATCACATGGGATGTACTCGGTTTGCCCGCCTTCCTATGCTGTGATTTCTGCCATCTGATTGGTTCTCCTCGATGAGCTCTTTTGTCTTCCTCAGGCCATAGAAATCATGGAGGTGGTTTACGGGAAGGATCACCGTTACGTCGCTGACATCAGGAAGGACATCAAGTAGAAAGCCGGCATCATCCACGCGACAGTGGCTTTTTTCAGCCATCCAGCAAGCTTCAGTAGCGCAATCTGTGTATTAAGGAGGATACTGGATTTGCTGGGTTTTACTATATTAAAGGGACCCTGTCTAAAATATTATAAAAATGCGTTTGATGTTATTATTGCTATGGATTTTGTTTTCACTGATAGTTTTTGCACTAGTGCTATAAAAGCCAATGTGCAGTTTTTTCGGATAAGTGCTCTGGTTGTTTTTCCAATGTGAATGAGATTTCAGTTTTTGTACACTCACTATTGTACCCTTAGTATTTGAAACAGAAACACATTTGTATACTTAAAGTCCACCGTATTGCATTTCCAGTTTTTGGCCATTTTGAGCTGTGTGACATCCAGAGACGGTGCTATTTTTGTTACGAGCAGCGGGATTCCAAACAGATAAGACCCACGTGCACTCGCCAGTTACTGTGCAGGCCGGACAGCAGGGGATGCTACAACAATTAGGGTTTGGAAATTAGCAGCTCACTGCTGGTGTCAAGAAATTATGCAGGTGGACTTGGCACATGTCTAATAACTTCCCAAAAGTATTTACTTGAAGGAAAATATGAGTAATATTTCATGTGTTTTAGTTAACTTGGGTTTTTGAAATCTTCAGCATTCAACAGGATTCCTATGTTTTTCATTTTGGGGTTGGGGGGGGGGATATGTACAAGCCATTTAAACCAACCACTGATTCAATGCTGGGTCTTGGCTGCATATCCAAGGAGGTATGTGAATATCCTGCATAGGACACCAGTCCATCACACAGCCTAAACACATTTTTTGGCTACTGGAGGAAGTATGTTATCTGAGGTAATCATGGTCTATTTGCAGTAATTAGTGAAATCCTGTGTTTCTTCTAGGGTTTCTGCTCTTTCTGAATACAAATTCAGATGTATGCTTTTTAATTTTTTTTTCCAAAGAAAAGGGGTTTGGGGTTATTAACCATTTGTAAAAAACAACCTTTTTTGTATACTAACTTTCTGAGATGCACTGTGGTTCAGTTTTAATGTGCATACGAATGTGTCAATTCCATGATGTAGCTATGACTTTGTATTTTATGGTAAAAAAGAAGCTTCTGTAAAACAAAGGTAAATTTTAGGCACCTTTAAACGGAAAGAAATGCTTTCAAGTATAGTCTATTAAGATAAAAACATTAAAGATAAACTTCATCTTATGTCAATTTTAGATTTCCAGTGGTCAAAATCCATTTTAAAGGAGATGCTAAATGATTTTGAGAATGGCAAGTTTAGTGCCCTTTGATGGACTGGCATCCCATCCAGGGTGTCCCCAGCCATGTGCCCTGTGACAGCTCCTTCACACCCCCCCCATGGCTTTGGCCAAGGTTGGGACTTCATTTAATTGCTAGAAATTCTAATACTAATCTCTCTAACTGTTTACTTGGTTTGTTGTTGGATGCCAATGGTCTCAACACAACAGACGATATGAAATGTTTAGCTCTAGCTACTGGCAAACACTGTTTGAATACATCTCATCATTAGTGTCATTTATGCATCCAGGCTGGAAAGAAACTAGTTTTAAGGAGCGATTTAATATTTATTGCTACACCTGTGTTGTTTATATGCAAGCCTCACGATGACAGTATTCACAACACAGTGGTTAATTTAGACATGATGCATTAGGGAGGAAAAATGTGGACTGTCTGGCAGGGAGCTGGGAGGGAGCAAAAATGTGAACCGGCTGTGTCCCCAAGGACTGAGTTGAGAAACACTGACTTAGTGGCTTAGAACTTAGCAACTCCATTGCAACTTGTAATTCAAGGACACTTGTGAAGTACATCATTGCCACAGAAAACAAAGGATATGAGCTGATTGATTTAATTTCACAAATTATGTACAGGTTTCACAAGTGTCAGTGGTATTAGATAAAATACTATCTATACTTTGCCCATGACTCACAAGAACAAGTTGAAATGCAGGTTCTAAATGTTGTTGCTCAAAGTCATTGAAAGGTTCACACAAATGTACTTTCTCTGTGTTCCACAACACATATAAAAAATGAGTAACGCTCTGGCAAAGTACACCAAGGAAGCAGGGTGTCCCCACAAGGAGCCAAATATTACTGCAAACCTCCACTATAGGCCTGAATCGTTCGGAAGATAATGAAGAATATTTTTCCTTCTTAAAAGTATGTATGGGCAATAGAAAGAGAGAGGAAATTGTTCTTTGGTTTTGCCCGTTACGTGTACTTCTGACAACAGCTAATAAATTCTGCCATATTTAGGATGTGTTGTCATCAATTACTTAAAATCACTGGACACTTCACAGTTCAATTAACCGGCCAGTAAAGCTTGCATAGAATCTCAGCTAAAACCAGTGTACCCACAAGTTAGAGTACACAGATTAGCAGGTTGTGATTAAAGGGTGAAGCGTATGTTAGGTGGTTTTAGGCGATAAATAAGAAACGGAATCAATAATGCAAAAAACCTACATATACAGAAGGCACACATGAATTTTTAGTGAAATAATGGGTGAGAATAATACAGTATGAAACAGAAAACCAATAAAGAAAATAATGCTTTATTGCCTAATGAGTGGGAATGGAAGCAACATCAAATTTTAAAAAGATTTGACAGGCTTGAAGCATATACAAAATGTCTGTACAAAATGAAAGCGATTCGGATGTAGCCGTGGCACAAAAGGCGCGGGAAGGACCAAAACCGTGGAATGCAGTGGAGAATACTGTCACGACGGAAGTGCAAACGCGTATCTAAAAAGCGGAAGCTGCTACACCAGTCTGAGTACACATACACTTTAGAATATAAAAGGCATGCATAGTTATCTTTATGGTATCAAAAAGTACCAAGTCAAAAGCATACATACAAATTGTTGCATTTCCAAAAAGTAATACAGCACAAGGACAAGACTCTTTGTGACTAGTTATCACATGCTTTACAAAAGGGGGAGTCAGATGAACCACACATGAATTTTACATCCCATAAACACTGTAGGCACTTAATATTCTCTGGAATCAGCCTTGATCCCTGCAGTTATCAGATGGCTGGCCGTGTGGTTCTAAGGTACAGACATAGGCGCAGTATTTGTGCCTGAGAAAGTTCTGTTTTACATTGAGTAGAAGTTGTGGCTTCAAACTTTCTTGCAGACGCCAATACTGATTACAGGGTGAAGTGACTGCCCATTCGATCAATTTCACAGTATAGTGTGAATACTGTAGCATCGATAAAAATGGGTAACGATGAAAACAAATAAAATGGTGACTATTTTTAACACCACCTTTGAAGACTGGGTCTTTCAGATGATATTTGCTCACAAACCCCTAAAGTTAAGTACACTTACTTGTGGATCCATAAAGTACTTCTCAGTAGGTGACCTACGCTTTATTTATTGCCATTCTCCCCCACAGAACCACACGGAAATCGTGAAAAACAATACTGCACAGAAAAACAGAGATTAAAGGTCCAACACAGCATGGGAAAAAGAATAATGGATATAAGTAAAGCATTACCAGTATCTGTACAGAAAATTAATATGGATGGAAAGGGGAAATTTAAAGAAGAAAGATAAAAACAGGCAGAGTCTGCTTTCTGGCAAATGCGAAAGATTTTTTTGTTGCTGCTAATTTAGAGAAACGGCATAAGGAAGAAAAAAAAAATCAGATGACTAAATTTCCAAGACAAATTTTAGATAATATACAATGAATTTAAAATAGCTTAGGAGACTTGAGAAAATAAGACACAGATGAACCTGAAATGAAGATAAAAATGTAAATGACATACTTTGCAACTACGTCTAGAACACATTTTTCAGACATGCATCTGACGTAGTTATTGGCGCAGATGTAGGCTGCGCAGTCTTAAATGTATATTTACCCAGCCATGTCTCAGCAAATCTTGGTTCATTTTGGAAATGTCAACATTCAATTTACAGGCAAACAGTACAAAGCAAAACAATAGGAGGATTTAATGTCAAGAAAAATAAATTAAAGTAATAAAATAGAATATAAAAAATTAAATATTGAAATGTCTTGACAATGTATTTTACAATTATCTAGCAAAGTACAGTTTCAGGAAAGCGCAGCACTAGAAAACTGCAAAGTCACCGGCAGACTTTAAAAGCATGACTGCTGATATCCCCGAAAGGATCAGGATGCTCGTCACTTTTCGTGGCCAAATCGAACCACGCTGGTGCTTTTTAAAATGGTTTTACATCCAAAATGCTTTATGACATGAACACAAAGAAAAAACAATCAATGCCAACAAATTCCTAGCTGCATAAGAACAGATCCTTATTTGTTATATGGTCTTTCCACGTCATTCTTTACTAACAGCCTATTAATATCAACAGTATTAAACGGTGTTATGGTTAATTTTTGCAGCACCTACATCTGTGAAATTCTAAGCAGACATTTTAATATTAAAATATATACTGCTAACCTTTTTCCACACATTACTCAACTCATCGTAAAATCTTACCTATTTTTTTTAATTGAATAAACTATTTTATTTTTTCCCCAAAAAAGAAACTTTCTGGTCCACACGCAAGTAAAAAAAAAAAACATGTACCCAGATGAATATGACAGAAGGTAACTACTGAAAGAGGCACCGGACATTAAATATCTTGTAGCATCCTGCATCAGGCGTAAAGAATAATGTTGAAAACAAAAAAATTAAATAAAATAAAAATCAATAAAAGTAGGTGAGATACACAATACTTTCTTTAAAAACTCTGTGATGAAGGTTTCTGTGGTGACAGCCCGCTTGTTTCATGCGGAGATTCACGGACCCACAGGTAGCTGTGGAAACACGCTCCTGCCTTTGACTCAGATGAGTCGGGAGTTCTTCAGAAACTGAATCAGAACCTGATACACAAACTTATACTGTGAGATGGTCTGGACCATGAGCATACGCTGCTGCCGGAGCCGGCCCAGCATCCCTGGGATATCCACCTTCTGTGGGCGAGAAGTCGACAATATTATGTGGCCAGTGCTGCTTGTAGCCTGCAGTCTCATGTGGGACAGCAGGGGGTGCTGTGGGGCTGTGCAGTGTAGGGGTCTAATATGTGGTCATATTTGTACGGACAGTTAATAAAAGGGTGCTTATATTTACCTGGTTATGTTCCACGCAGCTGATCATGAGCTCGGTGAGGATGACCACGCCGGTACGGCCCACCCCGGCGCTGCAGTGCACCACGATGGGGGGGTTCAGGCTCCGCGACGTGTCCAGCATGCTGTTGGTGTGACGACGCACCGACTGGATCTCCTCCAGATACGCTGGGGGCGGCAGCGAGTGCAGACACGGCATTGGCGAGTGGATACAACAAGATGAATGGATTGTAACCCCCCCCC